CGGGGCCGTCTTCGCCGACATTTCGCGCTAGTTCGCTGCGCCATCCCGCGTAAGACCCCTCTCTCATCGTCGCTCACCTGCCCCTGGAGCGGTACCTTTCTGCCCTTCTGACGGTGGCTCCCCGCCCCTGGGAGCGCTCTTGGTCTCCGGGCATCTCCATGGGGATGAGGAGGATGAGGAGGGGGAAGAGGAGGAGGAGGAGGAGGAGGAGGAGGAGGAGGAGGAGGAGGAGGAGGAGGAGGAGGAGGGGCAAGAGGAGGAGGAGGAGGAAGAGGAGGAGGAGGAGGAGGAGGAGGTGGAGGAGGAGGAGGAGGAGGAGGAGTATCAGCTGTACAGGGCCTCTGCTCGCGCTCGCGACTGCGGTTTGGAGTGACTTGCTGCCACGTGCGGTTCTCTGTGGAGGGATCCGCGACGCCTGGCAGCGCCTCTAGCCGCATGCGTCACCCTGGTAATGCATCAAAGGACCCTTCAGTGCGTGCGTGGCCACGGCCATGAGATTAGGCCTTCACATGGACGGGCATGGACGGGCTTCAATGGTCGCACCCCTAGATTGGATCCTTCTCTCCCCTCGACCTCTCTCCTCGGACGGTGGGGTTGGTGTTGGATCGGGTGGTGGACCTCTGGTTGTACCAACGGGTAGCGGACCATCTGGAGTGCCCCGAGTTTGCTCACAGTATTTTGCTGCAACCGTTGCGCAAGGTCATCAGAAGCAAGCGCACCTCTGTGTGCAAGGCGCAGCATACATTCGCAGTGCAGTGTGCGGTGGCCAGTGGCCACAACAACGACAGTTCGACTGTGGCCTCGCGCAGCAGTGGCAGAGTCAGATATGCGTGGAGGTCATGGCACGCTTCTGCATCGGCACATTGGCTGTACGCATCACGATGAGGTGTGTGAGCACGAGCCGCCACCGTTCGCTGATGCACTCAGTCGAGCTTGCGCTCAGGCTCATCCAGAGGACGGAAGACCATCCCTCCCCCTTCTGCTTGCCGAAGGGTTGTTGGTGCCGCTTGTCCCCCTCCCCGCTGCTCCTTTGCCTCCTGGCTGCTGGGTCCTCGGCGAGACTGGGCATTTGCAAGGCCATGTCTTTTTAACGGCAGCCAGCGCGACGAACACCTACCAGCGGCTCAGCGTGTGCTGGGCTGGGCGTGTGTGCAGGTGTCGGCCGACACACATCGAGCGGAGGCGGTCAACGCGGGCTCCCTAGATCACCTCGTCGCCGACATTGACCTGCTTGAGCCTCTGGGCACTGCTACAGGCTCTGCGGTCCTCCATGCCTGGCACATGCTTTGTTACAGCGGCTCCGCCTTTATCGTGGATGGCATTGAGCGTGGTCTTCGCCTGTGCTGCTCGAGCACAGCTGCATGGGCCGAAGTTTGGCGCGTGGTGTGGCAGAAGATCGCTCATTGGGGTGGGACTGACTCCGTCGTCGTCGTCGTCGTCAAAGTCCGAGGCCACGCCACGCACGCCGCCGTGCAAACAGGGCAGGTCGACCCATTTCACCGTGCTGGCAATGACCTGGCCGACCGCTGTGCCAAAGAAGCCTCAGCGTGCGCCAGTGTGGATCCCGAGCTGCGTCGCAAGCTCGAGAAAAGAGAGATAGAGAGAGTGTGCTCCTTGAATGGGCCGTTTGGCTAGGTCGGATTGGCCAAGCGATGGGCGCCACTGACGCCCTGAATGTTCCTCCGGGCAAGAGGCAAGAGAGGCCTCGTGCTCCATGGCTCGACGTCCTGCCCCCGCCGCCGCCCGCCACTCCGCGCTGTGTGCGGGCGGCGGACCTGGGGCATGCGCGAGTTTTGCTCGGTGGTGGGCAGCCCCACGCCGTGCATCCTTTTCGCCTCGCCGAGACTGGGGTCTCGTGCGTGGCTTGCGCTGTTTGCGGTGCCAGTGGCCCTGGCACCGTGCCTGCTCTCTCCGCGCCGTGCCCAGGTCGTCCTGCCCTCAGGTCTTGGGGTGAGTGTGTTGGAGGGGCTGGCGCGGGGACAATACCAGATCAACGAAGTCTGGTACACCCTTGTGGAGCCCTGGCAGACTGTCCGCCTCCTCGGGGCAGGCGGAGCTGCGCCCGCTCACTGGCTCCCACCCGCAGCGCCGACCGAGCCATCCTCTCGGCCTCGGCCCCGCGCTGCCTCGTCGGCGGCCATATCGAGCGCAGCTCGAACTCGTTCGGATTTGGAGAGGCCAGCTTGACGGTGCTGGCAGCCTCCAGCGGTGGCGGAAGTGGCAGCAGGCGCCACCCGCTGCAGGCAACTCACACTGGCGGCCTGCAGCGGTGGCGGAAGTGGCAGCAGGCGCCATCCGCTGCAGGCAACAGGGTTAGGCGATCTGGATTGAAACTGGTCGCCTTGGGCTGCGTCGTGGAGGAGGAGGAGGAGGAGGAGGAGGAGGAGGAGGAGGAGGAGGAGGAGGAGGAGGAGGGAGGAGGAGGGAGGAGGAGGAGGAGGAGGAGGAGGAGGAGGAGGAGAGGAGGAGGAGGAGGAGGGAGGAGGAGAGGAGGAGGAGGAGGAGGAGGAGGAGAGGAGAGGAGGAGGAGGAGAGAGGGGTCCGAGGCTCTCGGCCAGGCGGCTGCCTCGACGGCACTGCGGCCCCACTCGGGCGCAGGCGCGGCGCGCGCAGAGGGGCGGCGCGAGGGGGCCTGCCCTCTGCAGCGGGGGCCCATGCCAAGAAGCACCCTGCTTTGCCTACACTGCAGAGGACAGACCCCGCTGCAGGGTGCTTCTTGGCATGGGCCCCCGCTGCAGAGGGCAGACCCCCTCGCGCCGCCTCTCTGCGCGCGCCGCCTGCGCCCGAGTGAGGCCGAAGTGCCGTCGAGGCGTGGCCACCGGGGTGCCGTGGGTCTCTTGGGTGTCAATGGTCTTGCCATGGACAGCGTGGCGTTCCCACGCCAAAAATCAAGAGGAGTCCCAGGGTCTCATGGTTGGGTTTCTTGTGTGGGAGGTTGTCTCGTGGACCAGCCTCCACTGTAGGAGGTCGAGGGTCTTCTCGGAGGAATCGGGGCCCCCAGGGCCTTCTGGGAGTACTTCTCCGAGTGCGTGCCGCTACTCGCAAAGTGCCTGCTCGCAAACGTCAGACAACACAAACACATGTCTTCCTGTATGTCATGGATCGTGAATCCACTGTGGCGGATCCAGGTCATTTGCGAGCAGTTACTTTTTGCGAGTCGTGGAACGCGCTTGTCTAGTGCCTCTCAGAAGCTTGGAGCAAGGCTGGACCTAAACGCAGCTTTGCTGGACTTCGGCTGTGTTTTGTTCTTCATGTTGGCAGGGAGGTACAGGAAACCAGGCAGAGCAAAACGAACCACAAAACGGCACCAGCACGAGAAGCAACGCTTGGGTCCCGCCCTGGCCTGGACGGCGTCTGAGAAGCCCCCCCCTGCCTCCTGGAAGCCCTCGAGGCTTCGTGGGAGGCCGCCCTCCCCCCCCTCCCCGCGCGGCCCTCTCGAGCGCGCGCACCGCCGGGAGCGGGCCGGGGGAGGCGATGCGCCAGGGGGGGCCCCCACCGCCGATCCCGGAGCTCCGCGCGGCTCTCCGAACAGGTCTGCAGCCAGCCCGCACAGCGCGGGGGCGGAAAAGAGGGGGGTGATGACCAGGGGGGGTTGGATATCATGGCGTGGGCCATGAGATTTCCCCAAATTTCATGGCGCCTCTTCTCAGTTCATCACGTCCCTGGCCCCCCCGCTGGGCCGCGCGCATGCCGCCGGTCATGATTTGCACCCCCCGCTCTGGGACACCCCCCTCTTGGCCGCTCCCGAACAGCAAGGGCGAGCACTTTTCCAAGGCTACCCCTCGAAGAAGAGAGAACGCCATGCGCAGAAACTGTTGGCGCTCCGCGCTGGTTTCTTGGATCCGCGCGGGGCCCCCCTGGCGGCGCCTCCGGCGCCGCGCCTGGCGCGCTCCGCGCACCGGGCAGGGGGGTCCAGCGCGGATCCAAGATATCCGCGCGGACCGCCAAAAGTTTATGCTTATGCCGTTCTTTGTTCCTGTAATGGTAAGGATGGGCAACTTTCCAAGGCTAGCCTGGCATCCTTGCACGACTTTCGCTGGCCAGCCTCGTTCGCAAGGCGTTACCATGACCTTCCAAGGCCCCCGCATCCTTGCCGCGCAGCCTTTTTGTATGGGTTGGCTGTATCGTGCTCTTGACCTGCGCTCTTGTGGCCACGTTTCGACCGCGTTCTGCCAAACCTGCGTTGTTCGATGTCTCCTGATGGTCTCGAGACGGCCTCCAGGTTCCCCGAGATGACTCCAAGACCGCCCAAGATTGCCCCACGATTGCCCCTACGTTTTCTTGACCTGCGCTCTCGTGGCCACGCTTCGCCGTCACTTCCTGCTATCTCGGGCAAGTGGGCTGCTGAAGCTGTAGCCTGACTCCTCAGGAAAGTCCAGTCTGCCATCGTGCACCCTTGTCGCCTGGCTATCTGAAGGGTTGCAGCCGAAGACATGCTCGCTACGCGCGATCGATCCGCCAGCGCACACTCTCTGTGCGCTCTGTATGCGGGAAGGCAGTCCCAGGGTGTTCCCATGTGTATCATCCTGAGCCTATTACATATCACCGAGAAGGCACTGTCGACTCAGGAAAGCGGCTGGCGTCGTCGGCTTGACTTTTGGGTGACTCGCCAGGGGCTCCCCCGAAACGCTAACGTACACTTCTAGCCAACCCACATATCAGCCTTCCCGAAGTTGTCTGCCTCATATCGGACGTAGCTGGATCAGGCCCTGAGCCCCCTGAAAACACATCGCAAAGCTTCAGTCAGCCCAACTCTTACAATGCCGTCCTGAAAGCAAAGATATTGTCGCAACTGGAGGCTGGCTACAGGGTGTAGAGCTCAAACATTCCATGCTAGCAGTCAGGGCAAGATCAGCTACTCCCCCCTTTATGGGGGAGCTCCGTCCCATACGCTCAGACCGCACGCGACAGACTATTTGGAAACCTGGGAGACTGGACAAACTGCGCGTGCAGGGGGGCAGGCCCCGCTCCAACGAGCCCCCCGGCCCCCCCCCCGCAAGGAACTCCGGGATCGCTTCCCGCCAGCGGCGCCCGCGCCGCCGGCGAGCCGCCGCGAGCGCAGCCGCAGCCGTGGCCGCGGCGCAGCGGAGACCCCGGCGGTGCGGGCCGGGAGGAGGGGGGCTTCTCGAGAGAGTCAAGGAGGATCGAGGAGGAGGAGGATCCAGCGACAACCCCGTCAACCCTGCTGCAGCAGGCTTCGGGGCTCGCTGGGTCGCTGGCAGACCGTTGGGCCCGGCGTATGCGTCGCCGCGCCGTCGATTCTGACGCGCGGCCTTGCGTCTTGGGGAGGGCGGCGCCTCGGGCACCAGGGCAAACTCCACCTCGGACGAGGTGGGTTTGCCGTGGGTTTGCCGCGGTGCCGGCTTCGTCTACTCGTGGCGCGGGACGCAGAGTGGTTCGCCGTGGGTTTGCAGTGGTGTCGGCGTCGTCCGTTTGGACTCGTTCAGAAAAAACGGCGCGGCGACACACACAGACACACAGACACACACAGACACACAGACACACAGACACACAGACACACAGACACACAGACACACAGACACACAGACACACAGACAGACACACACACACACACTTAGACACACTCAGACACACACACACACACGCACACGCACACGCACATGCACACGCACACGTACACGCGAACGTACACGCACACGCACACGCACACGCACGTACATACACGCACACGCACACGCGCACGCACACGCACACGCACACTCACACACAGACACACACACACACACGCACGCACGCACGCACGCACGCACGCACGCACGCACGCAAGCACGCACACGCGAACGAAAGCGCAAGCGCACGCACTCGCGCACGCGCACTCGCGCACGCGCACGCGCGCACGCACACGCACACGCGCACGCGCACGCGCACGCGTACGCGCACGCGCACGCGCACGCGCACGCGCACGCGCACCCGCACGCGCACAAGCACAGAACACACCCACACACCCACACACCCACACACCCACACACCCCCACACACACCCACACATCCAAACCCACACACACACACATAAACACTCACACACACACGCACACGCGCACGCGCACGCGCACGCACACGCACACGAGCACGCACACGCACACGACGCACACGCACACGCACACGCACACGCACACGCACACGCGAACGCACACGCACACGCACACGCACACGAATACGCACACTCACACGCACGCGCACACGCACACGCTCACGCTCACGCACACGCCACACGCACACGCACACGCACACGCACCGCACACGCACACACGCACACGCAAACGCACACGCACACGCACACGCACACACCCACACACCCAAACCCACACACACACAAAACACTCACGCACACGCACACGCACACGGGCACGCACACGCACACGCACACGCACACGCACACGCGAACGCACACGCACGCGTGCACGCACACGCGCACGCACACGCACACGCACACGCACACGCACACGCACACGCTCACGCACACGCACACGTACACGCACACGCACACGCACAAGCACGCGCACGCGCACACGTACACGCACACGCACACGCACACGCACACGCACACGCACACGCACACGCGCACGCGCACGCCTACGAGCACGCAGCACACGCACACGCAATCCCGCACGCATGCATTCACGCACGCACGCATGCACGCACACACACACACACACGCACACGCACACGCACACTCAGCACAGTAGCACACCACAACACAACACAACACAGCACAACACACCACAACGCAACATAACACAGCACAGCACAACACAATACAACACACGACAACACAACACAGCACAACACATCACACACCACACGTCACACAACACACGAAACACAACACACACAACACACACAACACACAACACACGACACACAAGACACGACACACAACATACAGCACAGCGCGGACCAAGGCGTCGCATATGCATTCTGGCTTTACTCCATCAAACGCTTTGGTCCAAACCAGTAATAGGAATATTCCTCCAGCGCTGTCGACATGAGCAGCGTCAACGATACGCCTGGCCAGCATGAGGGCCTTCGCCGTGCCTCGCCCCCGTCTGAATACAAACTGGGAGTTCCTCATTGTCGGTTCTGTCCTTCTGTTGACCGATCGATTCAACAGTAAAACTGCACATGCTTTGTATCCAAAAGGGAGCAGCGGTATGGGTCTATGTGTCAGTAGTTTGCTGGTGACGTCGTGCTACCTTTTTGGAACAACAGAACAACATTTGCTCGCCTCCAATATTCCATAATACTTTTTGAGTCAGGTATGGCTGATATAACTGTAACAATATCTCGTGAGCATCGCCATCCGAAGCCAACAGCTTCCAGAAATCTGGTGACACTCCATCTGGGCCCGCGGATTTGCCTGCTTGCAGTTTGCGTAGCACGTTCTGCAAGTCTCGATCAGTGAACATGCCCATCTCGACCGGGAGTGTGGCGACTCGTTCGGACCATTACCTTTCCATTGCGTACTTTCGACATAATCTGCCATAATGTCGTATACATGTTTATGCGGTTGCCTATACATGCATGCAGCAAGCAACCACGAGTAGAGGGTGAGCGAGCCAGCCGCCGCAGAGGCGCCGGCGGGAGACGGTGCTGCCGACGGACGTTGGCTGGAGGCGCGAGAGGACCGCGCGAGTTGGCGTGAGGAGGCGGAGGGAGGAGAGGGAGGAGAAGGGGGACGATGCTGAGAAGGAGGAGGAGAAGGAGGATGAGGAGGAGGAACACAGTCAACCCGCAAAGTCAGGATGGGCAACCCTCCCAAGGATTCCCTTGCATTCTTGCCTCCCTCCTCGGCCCATCCTTGGCCACTTTCGTTGGCCGTTTCCCGCTCGAAGAACGTCGACACGGGGCCTTCCACGGCCCGCCCTCGCATCCTCACTGCGCGTCCTTACGATACGGGTTGGCTGTAGGAGGAGGAGGAGGAGGAGGAGGAGGAGGAGGAGGAGGAGGAGGAGGAGGAGGAACGAGGAGGAGGGGAGGAAGAGGAGGAGGAGGAGGAGGAGGAGGAGGAGGAGGAGGAGGAGGAGGAGGAGCAAGAGGAGGAGGAGGAGGAGGAGGAGGAGGAGGAGGCGGAGGAGCCTGGCCCGCGACGCTGGGGCGGGGGGTCCCGCTGCGGGCAGCGGGCCCAGCGAGATGGCGTTCGAGGAACTCGCGCCCTGAGGCAATTTACCAAGCGCGCCATCAACATCGAGAGCCACCGTGGCGACGAGGTTGCCAGCACAGTCAACCCGTATCATCAGGATGCGCGATAACGATGCAGGGGCTCTTGGCGCCCATTTCGAAGCTTTTCGAGCGGGGCGCGGCCTTCGAAAGCGGCCAAGGATGGACTGAGGAGGCAAGAATGCAAGAGTACCCTTGGGAAGGCTGCCCATCCTTACTATCCTGGTTGACTGTGCCCCATCACCAGTTCACCGAGACCGACCACAGCCGTGCCGAGCAATTCAGAGCCGACTCAGGCTGCGAAGCGCCGCGTTGCTTCGGCGGCACGGAAGGGCGAGACCGCCTCGGACGAAGACAGCGCACGCATCATGGCCGACCTCGACAGGGGCCAGAAGGCCTCCTACGGGGGCCAGCAGCGCCACGGCGAGGGCCAGCAGCGCTCGAAGTGGAACCCGAAGAACGCCAAGTCGATCAGCAGGGCACCAACTTGGACCCGCAGGGCGCCGACTGGGGCCAGAAGCGCCTCAACTGGACCCAGAAGAGCGCCCACTGGGACGAGCAGCACACCTCCCAGGGCCGTCAGCGCTCCAGCTGGAACCAGAAGCGCGCCAACTAGGACCAGCGGGGCGCCGAACGGGACCAAGCCCCAATGTGGGCCAGCAGCACCCTATTGGGAGCCATAAGGGCGTCGACTGAGGCCAGCAGCGCTACTACGAGGACCATCGGCGCTCCAATTGGAACCAGCAGGGCACCAACTTGGACCAGAAGCGCGCCTGCGGGGACCAGCGCACAGCACCAACTGGGACACGCAGACAGCCGACAGGAGCCAGCGCCGCCCCAAACCAGCACTGCTACGAGGAGGACCAGACCTCCTCGTCGCTACGGCTGGACTCAGATCTCGTGGGCGGCAAAGAGAGGGGTGATGACTAGGGGGGGTGGACATCATGGCGTGGGCCATGATATTTCCTCAGATTTCCTGGCGCCTCTTCTTATTGGATCGCTTCGCTCATTCCGCCGGCCCATCCTGCATCAATGGTGCTATATGTGGGCGTGCTCGTGGCGAGCGAGAAGGAGGAGGAGGAGGAGAAGGAGGAGGAGGAGGAGGAGGAGGAGGAGGAGGAGGAGGAGGAGGAGGAGAAGGAGGAATAGAGGAGGATGAGGATGAGGCCTTTCGCTGGTTTCTTGGGGCATTTTTGGGCCAAACTTGATCGTGGACAAGACGTCTCTTTGGGAGGCGTCTTGGGGTCTCTTGGGAGGCCTCTCGGGGGCGTCTTGGCGGCATTTCCAGAGCCCCCTGGGGCCTCATGGGGGCCTCTTGGGGCCTTTCGGGGGCCTCTTGGGGGCCTCTTGGGGTCTCCTGGGGATTTCTCGGAGCCTAGAGCGCGAAGTCTCTGTTCCGGTCTTTCGTCGGTGCCCGCTCTTGGAGCCGTCTTGGGGGCTTCTTGGGCCATCTTGGAGGCTTCTGGGACTCTCTTGGGGCCTTCTGGAGCCGTTTCGGGGCGTTCTTGGAGGCCTCTTGGGCCGTGTTTGGGCGATCTTGGGTTCCTTTTGGGCCGTCTTGGAGCGCCGGTAAGCCGAAAAGGCGAGAATGCCAAAGTCTTCCAAAAACCGAGGGTAAACCAATTTTTGCATCTTGGGGGCCTCTTGGAAGGTGTCTCGAAGGCATCTTGGGGCGTCTTGGGGTCACTTTGGGCCGTCTTGAGGCAATCTTGGGACGCTATGGAGCGCTCTTGGCCCGGGGCTGTGGGGCCTGCCACTTAATTGACGCCTCCTTGGGGCGCTCCTTGAGCTCTCCGGAGTCTTCCAAGGCCGCGCCCAGGAGGTCCGGCATCTCTGACCCGACCTTGCCGGGACTCTGCCGGGGATCGCCCGGGGTATTTTTCGCCCGGGGACCCCCTGTGGCCGCCCCGCGCGCGCGAACTTGAATACTGTTAACCAGCAGCCGGAGATAACACGCCTCTGGCCAGTGGGGCCGGTGAATTTCATTACGTTCCTGGCCCCCCCCCCTGGGCCGCGCACATGCCGTCGGCCATGATTTGTGCCCCCCCCTCTTGGACGCCCCCCTCTGGGCCGCCCTCGAAGATCGAGAAAGCTCACCCTTGCGCCAGGGTGCGCCAGCTTTCATCCCGACCCACGTCGACGCCAGAGGCGGCGCCAGCTCCTGCGCAGCAGCCGAGACCATCGCCGCCGTCCGCGCCGAGTCCCAGCACGGCTTCAGCGCCAGAGATGGCAACCACCAGCAGCACCCCGAAGCACAACGGCCGCCCGCCTCGCCGAGGCGGCGGCGGACGCCGCGAGGGCTGCCGCGGTGCGCCAACGAGAAGCAGCGGCGATGGTTGTGGAGGGGGCTGCTGCTGCCTGAGCCCACCGCGAGGGTGAAGCCCTCGCTGCCGGCGAGGGCGTCAAAGACGACCACGCGCACGACCCTGCGGCCCGCCTCGCTGGACCAAGCCACTTCTCTCTCTTGCCCTGCAGGTTGGTCTCGCTCTTCGCGCGGCTGGCGGCGCGCTGATAGCCACAACCACGGCCCTCCGGCGGGGCCTGGGGGCTTTTGGGCCTGGCAGGGGGTCGGCTCTGGTGGCCCCGGGCCCCACGGGTGACGGCCACGGGCAGGTCGCCGCCTACTCCAGCCCCCGCCAGGGCGCCGACGACTCTGGGAACAATCGCATCCACGCCAACAGCTACCACGACCCGGCCACCCCTGGCATCCGCGGGGCCAGGCAGGCCGCCGGCCACATCAACCGCTTGCCGAATGGAAGCAGCCCGTCCGTCGCCACGAGGCACGCAGCTGAGGCGGGGCGTCATCCTCGGCGCCCTCGCCATCTTGGGCTTCGACGAGCACAACCAATCTAGCCGGCGGATGAAGCGCCGGCGCCGAGGGCTCCCATTCTGGTGAGACGGCCGAGCTGCGTGCCAAGCAGCCGGAGAAACGGGGGCCTGCCCATGAGCCCCCTCGTGGTCACGCGTGCCCTCTGCTCAGCCGCAACAGCGTCTTCGAGCTCTTGCACCAGCGAGTGGCGCACGGTGAGGAGGCCGGCCAGGGGCGTTTGGCGCGCGCGGCCCTCGTCCACGCCCTGTGCAAGCAGGGCCGCGGCAGCCCGGAAGGCAGGCTGCAGCAGGCCTGCCAGGCCGAGGCACGGTTCGCGCGCGAACAAGCGGAGGAATGTGCACACACAGTTTGTGGCAGACCTCCTCCTCCTCCTCCTCCTCCTCCTCCTTCGGTGCGAGCCGAGGTGAACCTGCCCAGGACCAGGACCTCGGGGCAAGCCACCGCCGTGGGCAGGGACGCCCGGGCGCACTTCCCGTGGCCGCCGCCCCGTGGCACGGGGGGCGGGCGCGGGGCCGCGCGCACGAGGAGGGGGCTCTCCGGCAGCGGCGAGCCGTGCCGTGCGGCCAGTGCCCCCCTATAGGAGGCGGCCCCCCGCGCCCGCGGCAGCGGCAACGGGGCCCCTGGGCTTCTGTCGGGCGTGTCCCCCTTATAGGGGGTTTTTCGACGAAAAATTTGAAATACACAGAAAATGCCACAAAAAGGTCAAACAATATTCAACAACACAGTGCACATACTATTTTTGGAGCATTTTTGGATTATTCTGGGGGTATTTTCTGTTTTTTCGTCGACAATCCCCCCTGTAGGGGGACGGGCCCGACTTCACCCTGGGCCCCTGTGGGGCCCGGTGGTCTCAGCCCCTGGGTTGCCAGGGGCCCCGCTGCGGCCTCGCCGCGGCCGTCGTGTTTGTTGTCCTCTGGGCCGCGCCTCGCCCTTTTTTTTGGAGCTTCCAGAGGTGCAGGGGCTCGGATGGCCTCGCTGCGCCAGAGGGTGCAGTCCGCAAGGCCAAGGCGGCGGAAGCAGAGGAGGAGGAGGAGGAGGAGGAGGCGGAGGAGGAGGAGGAGGAGGAGGAGGAGGAGGAGGAGGAGGAGGAGGAGGAGGAGGAGGAGGAATAGAATGAGGAGGCGGAGGAAGCGGAGGGAGGAGATGGCCCCCGCCCGAAGGACCGCTGGCGTAGCTGGGAGGACCGCCGGGAGGACCGCTGGGAGGACCAGAGCTGGGAAGGGCGGCAGGACGACTCTGCCCCGCCCCCCACCCGCCCGCGTGTGCGCTAGAGAGAGAAGAGAGGGAGGGGGAGGGGGAGGGAGGAGGAGGAGGCGGAGGAGGAGGAGGAGGAGGAGGAGGGGAGGAGGAGGAGGAGGAGGAAGAGGAGGAGGAGGAGGAGGGAGGAGGGGGAGGAGAAGGAGGGGTGGAGAAGGGGGAGGAGAAGGACGGGAGGCGCGACGACCTCACGAACCACGACGACGACGACGACACACGACGACGACGACGACCACGACGACGACGACGACACGACGACGACGACGACGACGACCACGACGACGACGACGACGACGCGACCACGACGACGACGACGACCACGACGACGGGACGACGAGACGACGACGACCTCACGAACCACGACGACGACGACCACGACGACGACGACGAGACCGACGACGAGACGACGACGACGACGACGACGACGACGACGACCGACGACGACGACGACGACGACGACGACGACCACGACGACGACCGACGACGACCACGAAAACGACGACGACGACGACGACCACGACGACGACGACGACGACGACGACGACGACGACGACGACGACGACGACGACGACGACGACGACGACGACGACGACGACGACGACGACGACGACGACGACGACGACGACGACGACGACAACGACGACGACGACGACGACCGACGAAGAGAAGCGAGCTCCGAGCTCCCGATCACAGCTGTGCAGAAGTATCCTTCATGCCGGCAGCGCCCATTCCGTGAGGGGGCCGCGTGGGCTTCGCGCGCCGCCCGGTCCTGCCTCTGCCCCCCTGTCCAGACCCTGTGCCTCGCCGTCCGTGCCACGGCCCGGGGCCCGCCCGCGCCGCTCCTCGGGAGCCCGCCCGCCCCAGTCCGCAGCCGCTCGGCCCAGGAGCGAGCAGCGCCGCCCCTCGTCCGCCGTGGCGCGGGGCGCGGCGAGGCATGCCGGCGGAGGACCGCCCCGCGGCCGCGCCGCCGTCGATCTCGGAGGCCCTGCGCGCCGCGGTCGCCCCGGGCGGCGGCGCGAGCGAGGCCCAGGCCGTGCGCGCGGCCGTGGAGGCGGCCCGCGCCGACCCTCCTGGCGCGGAGCGCTTCTGGGCCGCCAGCGTGCTGCTGCTGGAGCTCCCGGGCGGGCCAGCGGCCGGCGGGCACGGCCCCGCGGCGCAGGCGGAGGCTCTGGTGACGAGGCCGGCGGCGCGCCGGAGGGGGGGCGGCGCGACGGGGGCCTGGGGCGAGAGAGGGGCGGCCTCCTGAGGAGGCAGGCGCGGGCCTACTGCTCTCTCGACAGCGGCCTCGGAGAGGCCTCCGAGCCGTCCCGCGCCGGAGGCCCCCTTGCCTTCTCGGGAGGCCGCCCCTCGCCTCGCCTCGCCCCTCGCCCCCCTCCCTGCGCGCCGCCGACGAGGGCCATCGAGTCCGAGGAGGTGCTGCGGGGGTGCCCCGACTGCGCGGCGCTGTGGGGCTTTGGCCGCCTGCACGGCCTCTTCGCCCCCGCGCCGCCGGCCTCGCTGGTGGCCGAGCTGGCGCGCAGCAGCGGGCTGGCGCCGGTGGCGGCCGCCTACGCGCTGGCAGCCGGGCAGGGGGGCTCGCTGGGCCGCCTCGCCTGGGGCCGGCTGCGCGCGGGGGAGGCCGCACCGATCCAGGACATCGGTGGGCTGCTGGATCCCGAGATGCCGTGGGCGTGGCCGCGGCCGCAGGAGGAGGCGGCCGACGGCGGCGGCCTGTCGGAGGCGCTGGAGATGGCCACGTCGGTGGCCTCCGCGGCGGTGGCGCACGCGCACACCTCCGTGCCGCAGCCGGTGGAGCTGGAGCACCTGCGGCGGTCGCGAGAGGAGGACAGGGTGAACTACGCGCTCGCCGAGCAGCTTGCGGCCAGCGGAGACGTGGGCGGCGTGGCCGCCAAGGCCGAGATGCTCTTCTATGGCAAGGAATCCGTCGTCCCAGGCGGAGGGGCTCTGCCGGCCACTTCACCGTCGGCCGTCGGCTTCAGGGTCGTGGGTGCAGCGCTGGTCGCCGTGGCGATCGCGCTGCCCTGCGTCACTCGCTGCGTCGTTTCTAGGTGCTGTGGCTGGCGACGGCGGCGCTCCCAGAGAGCCTCAGACGCCCCCGAGTCCACCCCAGAGTCCAGTGGTAAATGCTCTGGGTCGTTCACGGCCCTTGCGCAGGTTACCCTGTGCATCGCTGCTGGCCTGCTGGTCTACTCGTCGGGGCCTCTGCTGGCGCCCCCCGGCGCGCTCCTGCGCGACGAGGCGCTCTCGCTGCAGCTCTTCAGCGAGGCAGCGGACGGGGGCCACTGGGGTGCGGCCTACGCGCTCTTGCTCGCCGCCGCCGACGACGGCGGCAACAAGAGTGAGGCGGAGCCGTGGCTGGAGCAGGTGTCGGCTACGCGTGAGAGCGATCCGTCGCCAGAGCGACTCTTTGCGGCGGGACAACACGGCCCCCCCCAGCGCTGGCTCGCGCGCTTGGCACTTTGCCCCGCCTCGCCCCTCCCCAGGGGCAAGGTCACTCTTGCCCCAGCTCGCTCTTGCGTGTAGCCGAAGGTGGTGGAGCAGGGAGACGCCCCAGCGCGCGCTTTCGCCGCACACTTCCAGAGCCGCTGGGGCGTGGGGTCCGAGCGGGACCCCCAGCGCGCGGGGGAGCTGCTGCGGGAGGCCGCGGAGCTGGGCGAGCCGAACGCCGCCCTGCTCCTCGCGGAGGCGTCGCCGGCCACGGCTTCGGGGCTGCGATCCGTGCCCTGCTGGGGGGGCCCAGCGGCTTCGGTGCCCCTTTCGAGAGGCCGCGCGACGACTCCGTCCGCGCACCAGTGAGGCGTGCCGCTCGAGGCGGGCTTGAGCACTCTCGAGACGTTGTTTCTTGTGTGCTCTCGCTCTTGGCTCGTCGTGGGCGCTCTTCCGCCCCGGCCTGCGGCACCCACACGCTGCGCAGAGGCGGGTTGCAGCCCGGCGGCCTCGAGAGATCACCGATGCGACGGGCCCTTCCAGGGGGGGCCAGGGAGCACTGCCCCCAGCAGTCGTGGCTGGTTCGGGAGGCCCATGCCCACGCCGGCGGCAACGAGAGCGAGGTCTGGCTCGAGGGCAGCCCCAATCTGTCGGTGGCCCTCCACTACTACCGCCAGGCCGCCGCGGCGGGCCTGTCCACCTGCAGGTGCCGCGGGCGACCAGCCACCCTGTCCAGACTTCCGACGTCGTTTGCTCCTGCGCCGCCCCCGAGTTTTTCTGCAGTTGCGGCTGGATTTGGGCATCTGGGGGCCGTGTCTGGCCCAGCACAGAGAAAGCTGGCCCGGGGGAGCGGGTCGACAGCTCTAGGGCCCACGCATTGAAAATATCACGACGTCGGAGATTCGGGTGTGTATACATATACATAGAGAGAGAGGACAGGTGGCCATGAGCCAGCCAGACAGGCTCCTCAGGCCCAGACGGCAGCAGAGCCAGTTGTTCTCGTGCTACTCTCGCCATCGAGGAATCGCAAAGCTTGCCATCTCTTCCTCGGCGGGAGCTGTCGGATGTACAACGAGGGTGGCTCCACCAGCGCAGGGCCGGCGGAAGTAAAGGATGCCCCCCCAAGAGATGGATTCAGGGGTCCCAGGGCGGGCCATTTGGATATTTTTTTCCCAACCCTCCTGCGTTGGGTTCTCGTTCCCAACCCTCCTGCGTTGGGTTCTCGTTTTGAATAGAGCACTGCTCGCGCGTCTCCTTCCCACCCCCTCCCGTCCCTCTCTTCCCCCCTGCCTTTCGCCTCGCTCGTCGCTGCGTGCCAGCTGGGGGGCTGCGATCTGTGAAACTGTCGCCACTTTCGAGGCCTGCTGGGGGGCCCAGCACAGTGGGTACTCACGGCAGACTCAAATGGGACCTCGCCATCCCTGGGGGGCTGCGATCTGTGAAACTGTCGCCACTTTCGAGGCCTGCTGGGGGGCCCAGCACAGTGGGTACTCACGGCAGACTCAAATGGGACCTCGCCATCCCTGGGGGGCTGCGATCTGTGAAACTGTCGCCACTTTCGAGGCCTGCTGGGGGGCCCAGCACAGTGGGTACTCACGGCAGACTCAAATGGGACCTCGCCATCCCTGGGGGGCTGCGATCTGTGAAACTGTCGCCACTTTCGAGGCCTGCTGGGGGGCCCAGCACAGTGGGTACTCACCGCGGATTCAAATTAGACCTCGCCATCCCTGGGGGGCTGCGATCTGTGAAACTGTCGCCACTTTCGAGGCCTGCTGGGGGGCCCAGCACAGTGGGTACCACCGCAGATTCAAATTAGACCTCGCCATCCCTGGGGGGCTGCGATCTGTGAAACTGTCGCCACTTTCGAGGCCTGCTGGGGGGCCCAGCACAGTGGGTACCACGCGCAGACTCAAATTAGACCTCGCCATCCCTGGGGGGCTGCGATCTGTGAAACTGTCGCCACTTTCGAGGCCTGCTGGGGGGCCCAGCACAGTGGGTACTCACCGCGGACTCAAATTAGACCTCGCCATCCCTGGGGGGCTGCGATCTGTGAAACTGTCGCCACTTTCGAGGCCTGCTGGGGGGCCCAGCACAGTGACGCCACGCGCGGCTCAAATAGACCTCGCCATCCCTGGGGGGCTGCGATCTGTGAAACTGTCGCCACTTTCGAGGCCTGCTGGGGGCCCAGCACAGTGACGCCACACGCAGATTCAATCAGACCTCGCCATCCCTGGGGGGCTGCGATCTGTGAAACTGTCGCCACTTTCGAGGCTTGCTTGCGGTGCCCAGCACAGTGACGCCTCCCAAGTAGCTTACACATAAAGTTGATTGTCCATACAAGTTTCGGCCAACTCCTCGTTTCCATTGATACAAATGGGTTGGGTACGTCACATGGTAATTTTTTATAGAGCACTGCTCGCGCGTCTCCTTCCCACCCTCTCCCGTCCCTCTCTTCCCCCCTGCCTTTCGCCTCGCTCGTCGCTGCGTGCCAGCTGGGGGGCTGCGATCTGTGAAACTGTCGCCACTTTCGAGGCCTGCTGGGGGCCCAGCACAGTGGGTACTCACGGCGGACTCAAATGGGACCTCGCCATCCCTGGGGGGCTGCGATCTGTGAAACTGTCGCCACTTTCGAGGCCTGCTGGGGGGCCCAGCACAGTGGGTACTCACGCAAACTCAAATTGAACCTCGCCATCCCTGGGGGGCTGCGATCTGTGAAACTGTCGCCACTTTCGAGGCCTGCTGGGGGGCCCAGCACAGTGACGCCACGGGCAGATTCAAATTAGACCTCGCCATCCCTGGGGGGCTGCGATCTGTGAAACTGTCGCCACTTTCGAGGCCTGCTGGGGGGCCCAGCACAGTGGGCCACGGGCGGACTCAAATTAGACCTCGCCATCCCTGGGGGGCTGCGATCTGTGAAACTGTAGCCACTTTCGAGGCCTGCTGGGGGGCCCAGCACAGTGGGCTCACCGCGGACTCAAATTAGACCTCGCCATCCCTGGGGGGCTGCGATCTGTGAAACTGTCGCCACTTTCGAGGCCTGCTGGGGGGCCCAGCACAGTGAGTACACCGCAGACTCAAATAGACCTCGCCATCCCTGGGGGGCTGCGATCTGTGAAACTGTCGCCACTTTCGAGGCCTGCTGGGGGGCCCAGCACAGTGGGTACTCACCGCGGATTCAAATTAGACCTCGCCATTCCTGGGGGGCTGCGATCTGTGAAACTGTCGCCACTTTCGAGGCCTGCTGGGGGGCCCAGCACAGTGGGTACTCACGCGGACTCAAATTAGACCTCGCCATCCCTGGGGGGCTGCGATCTGTGAATCTGTCGCCACTTTCGAGGCCTGCTGGGGGGCCCAGCACAGTGGATACCACCGCAGACTCAAATTAGACCTCGCCATCCCGGGGGGGCTGCGATCTGTGAAACTGTCGCCACTTTCGAGGCCTGCTGGGGGGCCCAGCACAGTGGGTACCACGCGGACTCAAATTAGGACCTCGCCATCCCTGGGGGGCTGCGATCTGTGAAACTGTCGCCACTTTCGAGGCCTGCTGGGGGGCCCAGCACAGTGGGTACTCACGGCGGACTCAAATTGGACCTCGCCATCCCTGGGGGGCTGCGATCTGTGAAACTGTCGCCACTTTCGAGGGCTGCTGGGGGGCCCAGCAGTGACGCCTACGGGGACCAAATTAGACCTCGCCATCCCTGGGGGGCTGCGATCTGTGAAACTGTCGCCACTTTCGAGGGCTGCTGGGGGGCCCAGCACAGTGACGCCCCACGGGGACTCAAATTAGACCTCGCCATCCCTGGGGGGCTGCGATCTGTGAAACTGTCGCCACTTTCGAGGCCTGCTGGGGGGCCCAGCACAGTGACGCCACGGGCAGACCCAAATTAGACCTCGCCATCCCTGGGGGGCTGCGATCTGTGAAACTGTCGCCACTTTCGAGGCCTGCTTGCGGGCCCAGCACAGTGACGCCTCCCAAGTAGCTTACACATCAAGTTTATTGTCCATACAAGTTTCGGCCAACTCCTCGTTTCCATGGATACAAATGGGTTGGGTACGTCACAGGGTAATCCTTTTCCGATTTCGCAGGGGCTCTCTCTCTCTCTCTTTCTCATCGCCCTGTAGGTCCCGGGGGGACATGGGGTCTCTTCAGGTAGCCCAGGGAAGCCATTCAGACCCCCCTTTCCGGTGGAACGATAACGCATCCAGCACCTGGAGGCATTATCCTGGCAGTGGAGAGGATGAGGAGGAGGAGAAGGAGGAGGAGGAGGAGGAGGAGGAGGAGGAGGAGGAGGAGGAGGAGGAGGAGGAGGAGGAGGAGGAGGAGGAGGAGGAGGAGGAGGAGGAGGAGGAGAAGGAGGATAATGAGAAGGAGGAGGAGGAGGAGGAGGAGGAGGAGGACGGGAAGGTGGATGTAGATTTCGGTCGCGGAGGGCGGGGGATCGTCCTTTTTGTTTCGCGTTCTGGTGTGGTGCTAACGCTACCGCTCGGCTAAATCCGCCCTCGCGAAGTATTTATTTTCGTTTCGGTGCTAACGAAAAACCAAGGGGGTTTCTTCATGGCTTCCCTGAAGGTCCCCAGAGGCCCATGTTTGCACAGAGGCACCGAAGGCGCCCCAGCACGCCTCTGGAAGCCCCTGGAAGCCCCTCCCTCCTCGGATATCTGGAGGTCCCCGCTCGGCTGGCCCCCGGGGCCACCCCTGGGCCCTCGGAGGGTGCTGGCCTTATGTCTTGCATCCGCGCGGATGTCTTGCATCCGCGCCGGACCCCCCCTCCCTGGCGCGGGGCCCCCGCGCGGATCCAAGAAATCCGCGCGGAGCGCCAAAAGTTTATGTTTCTGCTGTTCTTTCTCCCTCGAGTCCCGTTCTTCCACAGCGCCAATCTGTCTATGTCAGCCGATCCTAGCCTTATGTCGGGCGTGTCCCCCTACAGGGGGATCTTCGACGAAAAATAGAAAATACCCCACATATGCCCCCCAAAGGTCAAAACATGATCAAAAGATAGTGCCAGGACTATTTCTGGACTATTCTTGGGTTCTTTTTGGGGTAGTTTTCAGTTGTCGTCGAAAATCCCCCTGTAGGGGGGACAGGCCCGACTTGATGCTGGCCGGCCCGGCCGCGGTGCAGAGGTACAACATCGGCGCGATCCTGCTGAGGCAGGCGGGGGACGGCCCGGGGCCGGTGCCCGCGCACGTCCTGCGCGAGGCGCGGGCGGGCCCTCCCCGATCCCAGACCTCCTCCCTCCTCCTGCCCCTACTCCCTCCTCCTCCTTCCTCCTCCTCCTCCCCCTCCTCCTCCTCCTCCTCCTCCTCCTCCTCCTCCTGCTGCTCCTCCTCCTTCCTCTCCTCCTCCTCTCTCCTCCCTCTCCTCTCCTTCTCCTCTCCTCCTCCTCCTCCTCCTCCTCCTCCTCCTCCTCTCCTCCTCCTCCTCCCCTCCTCCTCCTCCTCCCTCCTCCTCCTCCCCTCCTCCTCCTCCTCCCTCTCCTCCTCCTCCTCCTCCTCCTCCTCCTCCTCCTCCTCCTCCTCCTCCTCCTCCTCCTCCTCCTCTCGCCCTCCTCCTCCGCCGACTCGAGCAGCGCACGGCGGCCGGCTCTCTTGCCGCCGCGGCCTCCTGGGAGGCGGCTTCCGGGCCCGGGGGTCGGAGGTCTTTGTCGGAAGCTGGAGCCCATACACTACCAGCGGCGGGCCGTTTTTCAATCCCCAGACTTTTTTTGAGGGTCGGGGGCGACGTCGGGGTGGTGTGGTGTACAGTTTCGCTCCCCGCTTCCCTGGGGAAGCAGCGAAACAGTGGTACACCAGGATCCCGTCTGCACCAGGAAGATCCGCTTCCCTGTGCGAGTGTCGGTGCGGGGCCGGAAGAAGCGTCCTCGTACAGAGTTCGGCTCCCTGCTGCGGGCGCATGGTACCGACCCCGCTACTCCCCGGACCTCTCTGGGGGTGCGTTCTGACCAGGAGTTCGAGGCGAATCCAGCGGTGGCGACGAGGGCCTCCCAGGACGCCCACAGAGGGGAGAACGGGCGGAGGCCAGCGGCATGGGCACCCTTTTGCCCCTCTGCGCATGGGCCTCCGTGCGCCTCTCGGGGGGCCTCTTAAAACGACGCGAAGATCGGGACAAAATCGGATCGGGATAATTCGAAATCTCTGAGAATCGGCGGGTTTGGAGGATGTATTGGGCGCCGCGGCCGCTCCAGAGCGTTCCGGAACGCTCTGAGAGCGCTCCGGAACGCTCTGAAGCGATTTATCCCGATCCTGTTTTATACTCCCCGGACCTCTCTGGGGGTGCGTTATGACCAGGATTTCGAGGCGAACCCAGCGGTGGCGACGAGGGCCTCCCGGGACGCCCACAGAGGGGAGAACGGGCGGAGGGCAGCGGCATGGGCACCTTTCAGAAGGAAAAGAAACACACAGACAAAGAAAGTATGGGAAAATATGGGAAGTGGGGGGGAAGACAAAAAGCCAGAAAATATGGGAAAATATGGGGTCAATTTTTATTTGTGTGCATTTATTTGTGTGTCCTGGGGCCCCTTCACCCTTTCCCCCCTCTGCGCATGGGCCTCCGTGCGCATCTGGGGAGGCCTCCGTGCCCATCCGCCGCCAGGGCGGCCAGCGGCGGCGCCCGCCGCCAGCGCGCCTCGGGGGCCGCCAGAGGGTCTGCTGCGCACGGGGAGCTCTCGGGGGCGCGCCTGGGGCCGTCTGGGGCGGCAGCGGCGCTGGGCACCCGGCCCGCCGCAGTCTGAGGCACAAGTTTTATATCGGGCAAGTCCCCCTACAGGGGGATTTTCGACGAAAAATAAACATTAATATTTCAAAAATGCCCCCAAAAGGTCAAACAAAACTCCCAAAATGGTCCCCGGACTATTTTTTGATTATTTTTTTTTGTTGTTGGTATTTTGGGGGTATTTTTGTTTTTCGTCGAAAATCCCCCTGTAGGGGGACAGGCCCGACTTCATGTTTGCTCCCAGGGAAGGTCACGCGAAGCTCCCTGACAGCGCGAAGGTCCCCGGTGGCGCCCGGGAGGCCTCGCAGTCCGGTGTGCCCGAGGGCCCTCCACGGCGTGCTCAAAGGCGGGCGTCATCGATGTCCACTGCTTCGGAGTCTTGCCTTTGTGATCTCGAGGGGTGATGGAGTCAAGTATCTGCCCACCTCTGTCGGGCCGGGCGAAATGGGGGGATTGGGAAAGGGGGGGTTACGAAATTTGCTGCACGCAGCTGGTTTCGGCCTCACCGATTGGCCCATTCCTCGATACATAGCCGCCTCCGGCGCCGGGAGGCGCCGGGAAAATCAGCTACGTGAGCTGATTCTCACCCCCCCCTTTTCTATCCCGCCCTTTCGCCCGACCCGACTCTGCAGGCGGTCGTACAGTCCATATCGATAAGACCCGCCAAAGGCCGACAAGGAGGTTTGGGAGGGGGAGCCATCGTCGAGACACCCAGCGGGATAGCCGTCACCATCCGTCGAAGAATCCGTATTGGTTTATGTGTAAATTTATCCTACGGTCTCATAGATGCATACAGGTCGTAGCATTATCAGTATATCATTCTCGTTGTCGATGGATCGATGCAATAATATATACAGATCTCACTATCAGGCACCAGTGTATCGGCAACTATATATAACTGTCGGTCTCATCATGCATCTATTGGTCTCATCAGTGATCTAGCGACCTATCCTCATGTCTGGACAGCTATCGATATGTCTCTATATGTATATATATATATACATATCTCACGATTGATCAGATAATCTACAATCGGGGCAACTGTTGGGGTAACTATCGAGACGACTATCGGGACAACCACTGGGACGACCATCGAGACAACCATCGGGACAACCATCCGAACGACCCTCGGGACAACCATCGGAACAACTATCGGGACAACCATCGGGGAAACCGACGGGAAAACCGTCGGGATAACCATCGGGACAACCATCGGGACAACCTTCGGGGCAACAATCGGCACAACCCTCAGGGCAACCACCGGGACAACCGACGGGCCGGTACAACCGTCGCGACAACCATCGGGACAACCGACGCGACAACCATCGAGGCAACCAGCTGGAACGCCATCGCGACAACCGTCGCGACAGCCACGGGCCGTGCGACAACCGCGGGGCAGCCGCAGGGCAGCCGCGAGGCGCCCTTCCGCCAACCAGGGGAGGCCGAGGAGCACTCTGCCCCGGCGCGGCCCGCGCAGCCACGGGGGGCCCCTCGTCTCGCCCGGAGCGGGAAGCCTGGCCTCGCCCGCAGCAGCACGGGCTGAGCACGAGGCCGAGGCCGATTTCTCGGTGGCTTGGCATCGCTTGGACGTGTGCATTTTTTCTCGGCGAGAAACCACGAGGACCATCCTGGACCATCGATGAAACAAGAACACGCACGAAACCGAAAAATGCACTGCACGGGAAATGGCCGTCCGAGCGACGGCATGGTGGGGCATCTCCGTTTCAAGTCGATCTCACCCCCCACCAAGTCCCCGACGCACCGCTGTGGGTGCGGATGTCTTCTTGCGGTGCCCTCCTGTTCCTCCTGGCTCTCCCGCGCCTCTTGCCTGCCGTCTGCCGTCCCTCCGTCGCTCCTCCCTCTGCCACTGGTGCTCCCGAGGGTGGCGGCTCCGCGTGCTGCGCTCACGGCTTGCCTTGCGCCTTACCGCCTCACATTATGATGCCAACCGGGTGGTTGTTTCGTTTTTAGAGCTGAGATTCAGGCATCCACCGTCGCCACGAAATCACAACTTCCCAATCCCAGGCCGCCGAAGTAGTGTGGTTTGTCAGTACTCTTGGGTCTCCAGAAGTCCCGACCCCTACCACTGGGTTGTCTCTGCATTTCGGACGGTTGACTGGACGAGTCCGCAGCCCGAACGCGGCCTCCTGACGCCGAACATTGCGACGCACGTTCGCCTTGATTCTTTCAACACGTTTGATGAGCCTCTTTTTCCACCACCACCACCATAAGTTGGAGGGGGGAAGGAGGAGGAGGAGGACGAGGAGGAGGAGGAGGAAGAGGAGGAGGAGGACCCCCTTTCCCTTCAACTTATGGCGGTGGTGGTGGTGGAAGACAGGCCCATCAACGTTGGAGGTGTGGGGAAGCGGTTGGCTTTAGACCCCGTCTCTACAGTCGGGGCGCGGACGAAGGAACTCTTTTCGTTGGGGAGGGGCCCAGTGCTCCTCAATGGTTGTACAGTTTGCCTTCGGTTTCCCCCAGGTTCTCAATCGAACATTTAAATGTAGCTTCTTGAAAAAGGAGCCTCGTTCCTTATTTAGGGTATGTCTGATTCCTCGAGCCCGGCCGGTCTTCGGTGAACCCGATGGCGGGGCCAACACGTCTTTTGGACGTCCGGGTACCCCGACCAGCGTCGTCGTCGTCGTCGGCGTCGGCGTCGGCGTCGGCGTCGGCGCCTCGTCGCCTTCGTCGTCGCCGTCGTCGTCGTCGTCGTCGGCGTCGGCGTCGGCGTCGGCGTCGTTGTCGGCGTCGGCGTCGTCGTCGTCGTCGTCGTCGTCGTCGTCGTCGTCGTCGTCGTCGTCGTCGTCCTGGACCCCGAAATCCTTTGGGAGGGAGCCCTCCCGACCCGTTTTCGGAGCCGCGCCCGCCAACGGGAAGCCAAGGGGTCCCGTGGGAGCGGGGCCCACTGTTCTGTGCGTTGTGTTCGGCCGGTCGGGGCCCCCTTCTGGGCCGTGCTGCCGTTGTCAGCAAGGCTGGCTCAGGACGAAAGCCACCCGGAGGGAAAGAAACACACAGACACAATTAATCGCCGACTCCCAGGAAAATATGCAAAAATATGGGAAGTGAGGGGGAAGACAGAAACCCAACAAATATATGGGAAAATATGGGGGATAATTTTATTTGTGTGTATTTATTTGTGTGTCCTGGGGCCCCTTCAAGCCAGTCCCCTGGGGAAGCCGAAGTTCGATCAGGAGCCGGT